TCCTGATTTGTAGCATTTTCTGATTTCCAAGATGTTAAAGTGCTTGCTCTGGGGCAGCTAGGTGGCGCAGTGGATAGAGCGCCGGCCCTGGATTCAGGAGGACCTGGGTTCAACTTACTAGCTGTGTGATCCTGGGCAAGTCACTTAACCCCACTGCCTAGCCAAAAAAAATAATTAATTGATTCATTCATTAAAGTGCTTGCACTGAAAATTTAACAGTCAGCTCACAGGTTCAAGCTGATTCTAACACGTCCCTAACTCCATCCCTTTTAGCTCTTTTGCAGTTCTCCCATCCTACCATGGGATAGGCAGCTAGGTGGTACAGTGGATAGCATTTGGTCTGGAGTCAGGAAGGCTCATCTTCCTGAGTTCAAATTCAGCCACAAGACACTTACTAGCTATGTGACCCTGGGCAAGTCACTTAACCCTGCTTGCTTCAGTTTCCTCATCTATAAAATGAGCTGGAGAAGGCAATGGCAAACCAGTCCAGTATCTTTGCCAAGAAAACCCCAGATGGGGTCATGAAGAGTTGGACACTGAACAACAACAAAAACCATGGAATAAGAAGCTGCTTGGTCCCTTTTGTAGGCCCAGTAGCCTGAGCCAAACAAAATATGCCCAAGCTCATCCTTCTTAAGGGGTGAGTGGATCAGTGAGTGGTCCTAGGTGCCCAGGTCCAGTAAAGTCTCTCAGTGAAGTGTTGCTGGGCATGCCTGACCCAAGCCTTACACAGGGGGTTGCAAACAAAATCCTAAATATAACCTCATTCCTCTAATGCTTAAAGTTTCAACTCATCAAGTTGATTCAGCGCCCTCCCCTATCTCCATCAACCCTCTCCATCTGTTTTCTAAGCTGAGCAATGCTGACCTTCTGTAAAATGGCAGGAGTCACCTTGACTCTTGTAAGGTAAATGTTGATGACAAGTACCAGGTAAAGGTGGGAAAACTGAGGCTCTGCCAGGGTAAGTAAGTCAGTCATTCAATGTACTTTGGTCACTTGCAAGGTACAGAGCTCTGAGAATTACCAAGGAAATTAGAGACACAGGCGGCCTTACTGTCCTTCATACCTGACTCTCCATTTCCTTGCCCAAGCCTGGAAGCTGCACCCTCTTATATTTTATATGACACATGATATATTATATATGTGCTGCCTCTGTCTCTTATATTTCTAATTTCCTTACAAACTCAAGCCAAACTTGTTACATGATTCTTTCATAATCCTCTCCATAGTACCTTCTCCTTGCATCCATAAATCATCTTGTATTTATTTTGCATACATCTTGCATACACCTACATATATATGCACTGCTCCCCAAAATAGAATATAATTTCCTTGAGGGCAGGGCTGATTTCATTTTTTGTCTTTGGATCCCCTAGTACCTGCTATATGACTTAAGAAACACAAGTTAACTCATTGATTGATAGGGGAAACCAAACAAGCAGAGATAAAAATATTCAGGAACACTAGCCAGGAAGTGCATAATTACGGGCAAAACTAATGACATCTGTTCAGGATCATGGAGAAATATATGCATTAGTGATATTGGGTTGCTAAAAGGATTGAGATCACTCTCATTCTGAGAAACTACCTGGTGTTGGAGTTTTCAGTAAGTTTTTGAAACTTAGGTGGGTCATGGTTAGACAGAGAAGAGTGGAGAATGAAATGTAGGTTGGCTTAGTACATAAGACCAAGGATATGTTGTGGGTAATGTTGAACAGGGGAAAAGTAGCAGTAGGAACCCTAGAAGGCAACCCCAGAGGCTACATAACACAACACCCTTATTGTGCCAATGTGGAACCTACAGCCTAGCGAGATTAAGTGAATTTTTTAAGGTCGCACCAATAGTAAGCACCAGAGGTAGACTTTGAACCCAGGTCATCTGACTCCATCTAAGGTGAAATAGGAAATAAGAGCATTTCAATAGTGGAAGCAATGATTGGAAGGCCCTTGGAGGGACTGTATGGTATAGTGGGAAAAGTAGTGGATTTCAGCTCTGACCACCTACGGTCAAAATCATGCCTCCACTCCTTACCTCCAGTGTGACCTTGGACAGGTCACTCCTGGCCCTCTCTGGGCCTCAGTTTCTTCATTATAAAATGAGGAGGTGTTGGTGCTAAAGGTCCCTTCCAGCTCTAGACCCAGAATTGTAGATATACGATGAGAAGCAATCAAGAGGCACAACATACTTCTGAAACAGGAGAGTGATGTGGTCAAACCAATGAGGTGCTCAAGGTCAACCGTGGAATGAGTGACATCAGCCACGGAAACCCAAGAAGCAGGAGTGCAGGGATACAGAGCAGTGTCTTTCTTCCACAGGAATTCTGCCAAAAACCAGGAATCCCCAGTGGAATTGGATGGCAACAGAGGAAGAGATTGAGGTCTACGTGCAGCAGTTCAAGAAATCTGGCTTCAGGTAAAGTATGAATTCAGGTAAAGATGATTTCCTGTCATGTGAGGGAATGGACGGGAAAGAAAGTCTGGCCTTCCTGGAGAGAAAGTGAGTTAAGCCTCCTTGGTCTTGAGGGGCTGTTCTTACTGCCAACGCCTAACAGCTCAGTTCCTCCCCTTCTTTTCCCTTCCTGAGGGGCACCCCTCAAAAATGAATATTTCCAGTAGCATATGAATGCCCCTATGTCAGAATGGTGTAGCCCTCTCTTCTAGCCCTACTGCTGAGAAACATTTTTTGAAGGGAGTGGGGTGTGAAAGGGATCGAATTATTACTCTCTACAGGTAAGGGAACTACAGCCCAGAGTTGTGACTTACCCAAACTCACATAGCTAGTAGTGTCTGAAGTGGGATTTGAACCTATGTCTAACTCTATCCCAGAGGTGGAGAACCTGTGACCTTGAGGCCACGTGTGCCTTCTATATCCTTAAGTGCGGCCTTTTGACTGAATCCAAATTTTATAGAACAAATCCTGATTTGTTCCCCACCCCCTCCATCCATTGCATCATACTGTCTCTCCCTGGTGATGGTATGCCTTTTTTTCAAATTATGGGACTGAATATCTTCATGGTGTCTGGACACTCCTCAAACACCAGCACCACCCCCTCCCCCATTTCCTGCCCCACCCCCAACCCAGGCAAAGGAATCCTTAGGATTCATAAAGAGAAAGGTTTTCTGGGAGAATCTGAGTCCAAAAGATACTTCTTTCAGGTATCTGTTACCCATTTTTATTGGGTGATTCCTCTTATAACTCTTCTCCCCCACCCCTCCCACAAGAGGCAGTAATGAGTAGAGAGCAAGCTTAAAAGTCAGGAAGACCTGGATTTGAGTCCCTCCTCTGCCATACTTTGGCTGTGTGACTCTGTAAATGTTTCTTAGCTTCTCAATATCCCCCTCCCATCCCCTAAATTGAAGAGAAGGTAGGAATCTATTTCTGAAAAGGGAGTTTCCTCATTGGAAACTCCGTTCACCAATGAAGTCACAGGTCTAGTCCCTATCCCCCTCTCCCCACAAATTTTGACAGCCCCTTCAGAAATGGTATTCTAGAGCATAGGTTCCCAAACTTATTTGGCCCACCACCTCCTTTTTTAAAAAATTACTCAGTGCCCCCTGGAAATCTACTTCTTTAACCCTTTAGCTTTTTTTAAAAATGTGTGTCATTTAAAAAAATAATATAGAATATTTTTTGAAATGACACATCTTAAATTTAATAATTTATTGTAAATTTGTGGGCTTTTCCCACATTAAATTTTTGATGATGCAATATTGCGTCATATAACTACATACTACCTGACATGTAGTATCATGTTATAAACAAGTTATTACATGCACATATTCCTGCCCATGCTTTCTGGACTTCTCGACAGTGCGAGACACACTTGCCTGCCAATACTTACTTGTTAAGAACTGTTGGTGAACTTGACCACTGATCGGTTATGACTTGCATTTTGTGTGTTTATTTGGAAAATAATGTAATCACTACGACTTTAGCTGTTGTTCAACAAATGAAACATGTATGAATATTTTTTTCAAAATTTTCTTCTTTTCTTTCTTTATGCTTCCTCCACCCCTTATTTTTATTCAATGCCTCCTCAATTGCACTAGAGGCTACTACCACCCCCTTGGATCATTCTAGTGACCCCCAGGTGATGGTATTGCCCACTTTGGGGGCAATTTGCCTTGAGGGCAGGCCCAGTTTCAGTTTTGACTTTCTATCCTTAGTGCCCATCACAGTGCCCAGAACCTAATAGTCACTTAATAAATGCTTGTTGATTATTGGTTGATTGATCAGGAGGGAACAACACATGCTCAGAGAAAGGGGACCACCTCTCATTTCAAACCTGCTTTCTTTCAGGTTCAGGGTTCAGTAGGAATTATCCATTGAAAGAGCTCGCCAATTTTCCTTCTTCTGCTTCCCTAGGGGTCCCCTAAACTGGTATCGGAACATGGACGCAAATTGGAAGTGGGGCTGTACTGCTGCCAGAAGGAAGGTGAGTGCGCTCTTTAGGAAATGAGGCAATGTGCTACACAGGAAAGAATATGGCACCTGAAGTCAGAAGGGGCCTGAATTCAAGTCCCGTCTCTGATACTTTACCAGCCATGTGACCTGGGCAAGTCATTTCCTCTTTCTGAGGCTCAGTTTTCCTCATCTGTAAAGTGGAAAGGACAATATCTGTCGTACCTGCTTCACAGAGGTTTTGCAGGGCTCAAATGAGATAATGTGTAGAAAGTGGCTTGCCAACTTTGAAGCTCTATAGAAATGTCATTTATGCCCCTGTCCCCCATTGTGGCATGGAGGCGACTCTGGGTCCTTGAAGGCTCTGCCAGTGGATCATAAACTTTGGCAGGTCCTCTCATGATGGAAGAGCTTTGCATATGGTCCCAGCAGCAGACTGCTTTCTGTGATCCAGCCTAATTAAGTTCACAGAGACTCAAAACCCTGGGCTGGCTACTCAGTGATAAGCTTTTGGGGTATAACAGCCCATGAAACACCATTACCATAGCATCATCATCATCATCATCATCATCATCATCATCATCTTCATCTGTTGTCATCTTTTTAATGTAAATTTTATTGATAGCTTTTGTTTTTTATATAGCCTCAATTCCCCTATTAGGTATCCCTCCTTCTCTCCAACCCAAGAGTCACCCATATTAGAAAGATTTTGCAAAAGAGAGAGAAGAAAAAACAGACAATACATTTTTTAAAAATCTGAAAATATATGCAATGTTTCATCCCCGTGGACTTTCCACCTCAAGGGAAAAAGGAGGGGAGATAACAATTCTTTGTAATTATGCAACATTCATGTATTATTGTTTTGTGGTGGTGGTTCTTTCTGCCTACATTGTTATAGTCGTTACTCATACAGCGTTTCCCAAAAGTCTTAGTGCAGAACTTTAATAATTAAGCTTTTAAGCTGTAACAGCTCTGAACTGCACTAAGACTTTTGGGACACTCTCCCGAGTCCAAACTCTGTAAGGATGACCCTTCTGTAGTATCCAGGGACAAAGATCTGCTCCCGAATCACCATCACAGACTCTTCCATTTCCAGAAATAAATCTTTACAATTCAAGCCATTTCTCTGATGCTTTTTGTTGACATATCGTTAGTTGAGTTCCTGTGGATATTGCCTGTGGAGAGGCCTTTTGATTCCATTTGTGAATCTTAGCTGTTTCACAGACACCATCTGAAGGCAAATCACTTTCAGTTGCATTGGACAAGTCCAATGACCTCTACCTGTTATTAGCCTTGAATACTGCTTGATGTAGTAATATCTGCTTGTTGCAAAAATATTTCTGTAAATTTTTGCCCTGCTTATCCTGTGTCCTAAGAACGCCTATCCATCTTCTTCCTTCTTCTTGGCAGGGAAATGTTCATCTTTCTATAGCTGCCTGAAGGTGGCCAGCCCTGAGTTTCATTAATATTGGATAGGTTTTTGTTTTCAGAATTGTAATAGTCCATTTCACAATTCCAAAAATGTACGTTTAGAATGGCATTATATGGATCTTAATTGCTTCTGATTCAGCTTTAATTTCAGGATGCCAGTAAGTCTTTTGACATATTCAGCCACAAGCTATCAAGGAGCCACATGTCCTTGATATTGTTACATTCGATATGTCTTGCCTGGGAGAGAACGAGATAGTTGGAGATAGCCCTTTCTTTCATCCATTGATTCATTGTGACCTCTAGATTCCAGCTTGAAGCCTTCAGTCTCTGTCTCTCCTTGACACACATTAAAACTTTCACAATTCTGGAATCTGAAAAACATTTTTATCTTCTTTGGGGAAAATTCCACAAGACAAAGAGCATAGTCGTTGTCCTTATGTCTGCAATACATCAAAATACACATCCAAGAATGAATAATCAGAATAAGTAATGGTACAAAATGGCAAGAGGAAATTCCCTTGAATTTTGTGTATCATGGCCAGGCTCCTCCAGGGTTCTTGTTTCCTAGGGTCATCAAGCTAGAAAGGGCCTCAGAGACTATCTAGGCTAACTCTCCCATTTTGCAGATAAGAAAACTGAGACCCAGAGATGTGAAGGCCACATAGGTAGTGAGCATCAGAGGAAGTGTTTGAATCCAGCTTCTCTGACTTCAGAACCGTTCCCCCTGGACCACAAGGTCTCCATCCAAATCCTCATCCCTTGAAGGTTACACCTGAGAATCTTCCTAACAGGTGGTCAGCTCTATGGTCTTGGAATGGGATTGGGCTGGGAGAGTACTTATTCTCTTGTAAAACCAAAACTAGTCCCTGGCTATGTTGGGCATGTCATGAGGAATGCAGGAAAGTAGAGTCAAGTTGGTGTATGGTATTGTCAGGGCTTAAGCAATGGCGGACCAGGGGCTAGACCAGGCAAATTGGTGGCAAGGTTTCATGCAGGGGGCATGGTCATACCCCATGAAGGGTTTATTAAAACAAGTCATTGCAAAAACCCAGAGATTAGTCACAGGAAAAGACAGGAAAAGCACACAGATTAGTTACAGGAGCAGGGTAGGCAGGGGCATGATCACAAAAATGTATGGAAAGCAGTTTCAACAATTCAAAACCAATTTCATTATCTTTTCTATGCAGATGAGTCTCAGATCTATATACCCAGCCCTAGTTTCTCTCCTGGGCTCTAGTAATGTATCATTGTTGTTTTCTCTCCTACCCTGGGGGGCCCAATTGAACATAATTTCATGACTTCATTAGGCAACAGCATTGTAACTTTTCCCGGTCCTTCCAGACAGTGGCCGGGGTGGGGGCAGGCACCCAGAGGAAGGGCTGGGCACTCGGGCCAGTGGCCCAGGAGCTAGCCAGCAGCCTCCAGACGGACCTGGCTACCCGCCCCCACCCCTCTCCTCGCCCTAACTCCCAGCAAGGCACGAGCTTGAGGCTGCTTTCCTGGATGAGCTCAACAGTTCTCTGTGTCTGTGGGGAGAAGCCTGTTTGGGGGAGCAGTCAGTCTGCAGGACCCTGTAGGGGTTTGTCCAGACTGCCCTCGAAAAACCCTGGCTCCAATGCCAGCTGAGTGACCTTGGATAGGTCACTTCCCTTTCCCAAGCCTCAGTTTGCCCCTGTGTAAAATGGGGTATTGGCATGGCCTTACCAGATGTGGGGACAAAGAAAGTATGTTGCATTAGTTTGAACCCCACACAAAGGAGGTGACCTATTGAACTTTTTGATTTAGATGTCTCATAGTCATCTCAAACTCATCATGTCCGAAACAGAACACATTCTCTTTCCCTCCCCCAAAAAATCTCCTTTCTAAGATTCCCTATTTTCAGTGAGGACACCACCACCATCTTTCTAGTGACCCAAGTTAGTAATCTTGAAATCCTCACTTTCCACTTACTTTCCAATCCTTACTTTCTCACACCCTGAATTTCCAGTCAGTTGCCAAATCTTAGTGCTTCTCCTTCTACATCTCTCAAAGTGGTCTCCTCTCCACTCTAATTGACATCCTTCTCACCTCTTGAATGACCTGTTGCAATAGCCTTTTAATCGTCTCCTTAACTCTAGTTCCTCACCACTCCAATTCATCTTTTACACAGCCAACAACATTATTTTCCTAAAGTCCAAGTGTGACCATGTTATTTCTCTCTTCAGTAAAGGCTGGTGTTTTCCTGTTATCTTGAGGATCAAATACAAAATCCCTTGTCATGTAAAGACCTTCACAACCTGGTCCCAACCTACCCTTCCAGCTTAATTACATGTTACTCCCTTTATACATACTAACTACAGTCCAGCAAAATTAGCCGTCTTTATATATGGCATTCCCATCTCCCATATGATACTCCGTTTCCCAATTCTGTACCTTTGCTCAGACTACCCCTCTGTTTAGAATGCTCTGATGTGTCCTATAACTCACAACCACAAAGCTGGATCTGGGGACACCAACCATAACTCTCTAACTGCTGGGCCGATCATGCTGCTCTGATGTAACCTTTGAGACCTATCTCTTTACATCCTTTCCAACTGGGACTGAGGGAGATTTTAAACTATGAAAGTGTGGAAACAAAAGGTCTCATTCCTTCTCTGCCAACTGCTTTTTTTTTTTTTTGCTGTGTACTCTGTCCCTAGATCTTGATTCCAGCCCTGATGGTCACAGCTGAGAAAGACAGGATTCTCCTTCCAAAGTTTTCTAAGCGTATGGGAATGTGGGTAAGTGTCCTGGGGCCCAAAATCAAGGCAGAATGGGATGGGAAGTGCTTTGTGACAGAAAAAGAGCTATTGAAGAGAAAAGAATGCCCCCAAATGGGACAACAGAAGCTAAGGGAGAAAGTTGGCCAGTTATCACAGAACAGCAGTAACATGGTGTCTACCTTGACAAAGCAAAGCAGAGGGTGAAGTGATTTTGAAGTCCATTTGAATCATCTACCAAGATGGGCATCTTGAGGGCATGTTCCCTCCACAAAAGTCCTCTTCAAGTGCTTCATGACAGACTGGAGATGTTGATGGTTAGGCCTACTTGGTTCAAATTGGAATGAAAAGAAACATCCATAGACTATATAACAGTTAATAAGAGGATTTTATGTAATTATGTTAGGGGAAAGATATTCAGCAAGGATACAGTTGACCACAGTTTCCTTCCCTCTGTGTTGGCCATGCTGGTTTACTGGTCACAGACCTGAGGGAGCAGAGAAATTCCTGCTTCCTTGGGTGCTGGTTTTCATTTAAACCACCAGGAAGCTACATCAATTGCCCCAGTTTAGTCCCCATGAGACAACCAAGTATGGAATATATTTCCGATACCTTTTTAAAGGAAAACTTATCTAGCCTATGTGGAAGATATTGTTTCTACAAGAGGAGGTGATCCTTCTTGAGGATTTGAAGGCTATCCCAGTGGGTTACAAGCTCTGATGGGTCCTATCAGACTGGAAAGGCTTGGAGAACAAACTGGGTATCTGTCTATAGATCATGTATCTGTCATGCGAGAGCAGCTTAGCCAGGTTCAAAGAGGCTCATAGCCAAGTTGGCTGCAGGGTGCTCAGGAAATCTATCCCAGCAATTCACAAAATCCCAAAAGCTTGTCTACCAGGATGTAGATGGGTGGTCCCCAAAGAAGTATTGAAGGACACAGCCATACCATGTTTTCTTTCCATCTCCCCAGAGCACCTCATAGCGTGAGTGCTCAGGAATTTCTGTTGACTAATCTAAGCAAAAATAAGAGGCATTATGGCATAACAAATAGAAGGTCAGCCTTAGAATCAGGAAAGAAGGAAGAGAGGAGGGAGGGAGGAAGGAGGGAGGAAGGGAGAAAGGAGAATGGAGGAAGGAAGGAAGAAAGGAAGGGAGAGAGGGGAGGAAGGAGGAAAAGAGAAGGAAGAAGGGAGGGAGGGAGGAAGAAAGGAAAGAGAAAAGGAGGGAGGGAAGGTGGGAAAAGAAAGAAGGCAAGGCAGAAAGGAAGGAGGATGAAAGGAGGGAGGGAAAAAAGGGAAGGAAGAAGGGTTGGAGGGAGGGAAAAGAGGGAAGGTAGGAGGGAGGGAGGGAGGAAGGAAGGAAAGAAGGAGAGAGGGAGGGAGGGAAGCAAGAAGGGAGGAAAGGAAGGAAGGTTGGAAGGAAGGGAGGAATGTTGGATCCTCACAACCCTGGGAAGTAGATGCTATTACAATTCCCACTTTATATGTGAGGTAACTGAGACAGAGGTTAAGTGACTTGCTCAGGATCACACAGCTAATAAATGTCTGAGGTCAAATTTGAATTCAGATCTTCTGACTCCAACCCAGCACTCTATTCTTGCTTCACCTAGCTGTCTCTAGATGCCCAGGAAGACCTGGGTCCCACATGTGACACAAGCAGGCTCTGTGACCCTGGGCAGGTCACTGGATAAGCTCTTAACGCCCCAGGCAACTCTGTAAGACTAAAAGTTGCAGAAAAATCACCTGTCTTCATTGGTGGAAGGCATTTCCTCACTGGGAGCTCTCAAATCTATTGGGAAATAATCTTTTGCAAAACAGTTTGGTTTGTGTCCACTTAATCTGCCTGCACTGTAGCTATAACCTACCCAGAAACTTCAGGGAAGAGAAAACAGTCACATGAGTGGTCTGTGATGTACCTTCTAGTCCTCTGACTTAGTCAATAGAGTACTTACCTTGAAGCCAAGAAGACCTGGGTTCAAATGCTATCTCATTCACTAGCTGTGTGACCCTGGATAAATCACTTAACCTCTCTGAGACTATTTGACCATCTGTAAAAGTAAAAATAATAATATCACCTACCTCATGGGATTGTTGTGAAGATCAGATGAGATAATGTACTTTGCAGATCTTAAAGTGCTACATAATTTAATGCATGCTAATTAAGGACATTATTATGATGACTTAGGGCCAAAACCCACTCCAAACTTACTCCACTGTTACACAAAGTGTAACAGTAGTTGATTGGCCTACCTGATCCTATGCTGATTTAAAGATAAAGCCCCATACATTCTCCCCTCCATGACCACCTCCACCCTGCTCTGAGGGATAGGATTCTATGTTTCATGTGGTTTGTTGTGGGTCAGCTGTTTATCAGTTGTGTCCAACTATTTGTGATCTCATTTGGGGTTTTCTTGGCAAAGATACTGGGGTGGTTTGCCATTTTTCCTTCTCCAGCTCATTTTACAGATGAGGAAACTGAGGCAAACAGGGTTAAGTGACTTGCCCAGGTCACACAGCTAGTAAGGATCTGAGGCTAGATTTGAACTCGGGTCTTCCTTGACTCCAGGGCCAATGCTCTGTCCACTGTACCACCTAACATGTCTTTTATACTTTAAGTTGTAAAAGACAATCAATGCCCAAAGTTAAGAAATCCTTATTTTCTTTATATTTTCTTTCTTTCTTTTCCCAGAAGATGTTTTGCACTGTGCTAGGACTTTGCCAAGAAGGAGCTTATGGGGGTGATTAGCTGGGTTCCTCCCCAGATTAGTTTTATGTGGCTCAAAAATTTCCATCCTCATTCATGTCTTTTGTGATCATTGGTCATACTTGCTGCAGCGAGTTTGAGATCAGACTGAACCAAGTCACACACGGAGAGAGGCGTGTACAGATTTGTGGAAAGAGATTGTTATTGTTCAGTTGTTTCCGACTCTCCGTGACCCCGTTTGGAGTTTTCTTGGCAGAGATCCTGGAGTGGTTTGCCATTTCCTTCTCCAGCTCATTTTTACAGATGAAGAAACTGAAGCAAACAGGGTTAAATGACTTGCCCAGGGTCATATAGCTAGTAAGCGTCTGAGGCCAGATTTGAACTCAAGTCTTCCTGTCTCCAGAGCCTACCCTCTATCCACTGGGCCACCTAGCTGCCTCCCGTAGAAAGAGATGCATCCTTCCTAAAGGCAAGGTGGGGGGATGCTATTGAGAAGGTGAAGTGTAGGAAGAAGGCCTGCCTGGACCTGAGAACCTGGAATAAGAATTAGGGCCTATTATGTTAGATACATGATCTATTTAATGGCCACTGATGATTATTTGGGCCTAATAAAGAACAATACGCTTTGTAAGCAGAAATATCAAACACTCATCTTGCAGTGTAGACTAAACCAAATTAAAATGTAATTGGGAAATGTTTAGCAAAGTAAATAAAAATATAATACAATATAGATAACGTTTATTTGTGGTTTTCTAAGTGAATATACCACCCTAGGATCTGTTTCTATTTGAGTTTGACACCTCCGGGCTACAGGGACTAGAAAGGAACGTGTCTTCTGCCATACTGACCTGCCCCTGCCTCCATTGCCTGTCCCATCATCGGGAATGCAGATTTATACACAGGTTCTGCATTATGAGATAAAATGGCTTCCTCTCACCTTGGTGGTTCTTTCTTTCAGATCCCCAACCTGACACGGAGAAATATTGAGGAATGTGGACACTGGACTCAGATGGAAAAGTAAGGAGATACTGGACAGTCCTGGGTGGGATTCCTCAGAAGGCATCTGTGGTGTAAAGTGGAAAGAATGCTGGATTTGGAGTTAATCCATCCCATTCCCCCGCCTCAGGTTCAGGCCCTAGGTCTGTCACTGACTAGCTGTGTGCCCCTGGACAAGTCACTTTGACCTCTCAAAGCTTCAGCTTCTCCCTCTGTAAAGGAAGTGTTTAGACTAAGTAATATCTAAGATCCCTTCCAGTTTCAGTAATCTATGAAAATTGGGATAATATTATTTACATCACTTGGTTGTTGAAAGGATCAAGTTAAATAATGTATATCATGTACGTAGTATGTGATATAGGATGTCCCAAAAGCCATTGGGGGGGGGGTTGGAAGAACTGCACTAAGACTTTTGGTACATCCTGCATAAAGGGCAGCTTGGTCATTCAGATGAGGGTAGAGTATAGAATTCTAAGTTCCCAATTCTTCACTCAGTTTCATTCAGGTATGAATTATCTTGACTTTCATCTTTGCTGTGCCCAAGTTCTGGCTTTACCATTTACTGCAGATCTAAACTAGGGTAAATGGCACCAGCAGAATTCTTGACAACTTTTGTTTCCCCTGCAGGCCAAGAGAGGTGAATCAGATCCTCATTGAGTGGCTGCAAGATGTGGCCAAGAATCCACCATTGGTCTCTATGCTCTAATGTGGGGCGTGTGTGTGTGTGTGTGTGTGTGTGTGTGTCTGTATGAGATCCTGCAAACACCTCTATCATTTCAGACGGGGAGATTACTCCTATCAAATGATGGCTTTCTCTTCCATCCACCTCCTTTAATGAACAGCATTATGAGAGGCTGGTGGGATGTGCCAGAAAGACAATGGTGCTTCCTTCTCCTCTTGCTACGCACACGCCACAAATAAGGGCTTCAGTTCTGGGGGAAGAGGGGGAAAGGAGATGAGTCTGTTTAGTGAGCATAGATAGGAAGCTATTTGAATTACTCCCATTAACACTTTCTTCCTTATGACAGTAATTAAAATAGGTGATGGTTATTAAATAATAGTGATTTGATTTAAAAAGTCAGATTGGGAAAGGCTGATCATTATCAACTGGCCCAGAAGTCAGAAGCTCCTGGGTTCCAGTTCCAGCTCAGCTGCTTATTAGCTGAATGACCTTGGGCAAGTCATTCAACCCTTCTGAACCTTATCCATCTGGTGAGAGTTGGACAAGAATGAGATAATTTCTCTGGCCTCTTCCATCTCTAGCATAAATATGTCAATCAGGAAATTTAAAATAGGGCAAATTTTGCAGGATAAAGAAACCACTAAATGAGGAAGGTCTGCACATCAGTCTTGAGGTATAAGATGGAGGAGGTAAAACTGGGGTTTCTAACTTGATTAAATATTTAATAGTGTTTCAAATGGATTTGTTAATTGTGGTTGTGACTACAATAAAAAAATTGTTGTAAAAGACACAGTGGCATTGGGTCTACTTTGTTCAGGAGGTAGATGCCAGACTTGTGCTTGGAATAAAGTCAGTGATGATGAGCACGAGAGAAGAGGAGATGTCTTCTGTGAATTTGGATTAGTGGAAGGCCCTTGGAACACTAGAAAATAAGTGGAATTCAAAGAAGACTTTGAGACTCTTGGGATTCATGTCAAGCAAGACGAAGGAGCCTCAACTCTGACTTGAGTCTG